TTTTTTGAGATAGAGTCTCATTCTGTCGCCCAGGCTGGAGTGCAGTGGCACGATCTTGGCTCACTGCAACCTCCGCCTCCCAAGTTCAAGTGATTCTCCTGCCTCAGCCTCCCAAGTGGCTGGAACTATAGGTGCCCACCACCACACCCGGCTAATTTTTGTATTTTTAGTAAAGATGGTGTTTTGCCATGTTGGCCAGGCTGGTCTCGAACTCCTAACCTCAAGTGATCTGCCCACTGCAGCCTCCCAAAGTGCTGGGATTCCAGGCATGAGCTACTGGACGTCCGGGCCAGTCTGCAATGTTTTATGGTGAGGGAAGGGGTATGTCACCGCCAAGGATTCATCTGGTGATTTCTGGCAATTTGTATACCCTTAAAATTATATGTAAATTGTAATACAGCCATATTTGGCTTAATAAGGGAAACATGTTCTGAGAAATGCAGTGTTACGCAATTTTGTCCTTGTGTGACCATCCTAAAGTGAATTTACACAAACCTAGATGTTGTAGCCTATTCCACACCCAGGCTATGTGGTTTGTAGCTCCTCGGCTACAAACCTGCCCGGCATGTTACTGTACTTAATACTATAGACAACTATAACATCATAGTATTTGTGTGCCTGAACATATCTAAACACAGAAAAGGTACAGTAAAAACAGTATAAAAGAGAAAAGATGTTCAGCTGCATAGGGTACTTAGCATGAACGGAGCTTGCAGGACTGGAAGTTACTCTTGGTGAGGGAGTGAGTGAGTGGTGAGTGAATGTGAAGGCCTAGGACATTATTGTACACTCCTGTATATATTATAAACACTGTATACTCAGGCTACATGACATTTACAAAAAAATAAAGTAATTAGGGCCAGGCACGGTGGCTCATGCCTGTAATCCCAGCACTTTGGGAGGCTGAGGAGGGCGGATCATGAGGTCAGGAGTTCGAGACCAGCCTGGCCAACGTGGTGAAACCCCATCTCTACTAAAAACACAAAAATTAGCCAGGTGTGGTGGCGCACACCTGTAATCCCAGCTACTCGGGAGGCT